ACAATATATATATATATATATATACTTTGTCAATATGATTCTTACATCCACTACAATAAATGTTACATATAGTGACATACAAAAAGTGTTACTATAAGTATAATATATATAGGTATATATCCATTTGGTATATATTTACACACAATTTTAGTGCTGATTTTGAATGAGATTTAACAATATATTTTTTGTGTTACTATAACTTATACCCACACTTTTTAACAATATACCAACATATATTATATTTATTGTGTAGGTAAAAGTAGTTTTCAGTGACACATATTGTGTCATTATAGGATGTGTGCTACTATATGACAATTTCCTTGTAGTGATCATAATATGTAATATAAACTTCATGTTTCATTCTTCGACACTTATCATTGAATAACAAAAATATTATTTTGATCTCTAATCAACGTGTAAACTTGTTGAAAAAGATGAACACTAACAATAATCTTTAAAAAAATAATTACATGAGAAAAGTAAAAAGGATTCAATTATATGAAAGACTATATGCATATAGTATAACATTTAAGATGAGATGGTTATTAATTCGTTTTCCTGAAATTTAATGCTAACACCTCATATTTTCATTATAAATTAGTAAGGGTTTTAAAAAAATAATAATTGGGTTATATATAATTATGACTTGAGAGTTATTCAATAAAAAATAGTTTAAAATTGCTTTTTATTATTTACACAGAAAGGATAAGTGATTGTGATTAATTGATTTTTACTGATGGGTTAAATGCGAGATAGGATTTTAAAATTTTCTATATTAAGAAATGTTACATCGGAGTTGCCTCACACATCTCCAAAATTAATAATTCACGCTTTTATGCGTTGAAGAGATTGAAGAATTGGAGGCAGCTACATGTTGAGTCCAAAACTTTTTGTTTTAATTATGACAAATTTTATGAATAAAAACCATAAGCCTTCTAAGTATTTATGTTACTAATGAGTTTGGTTAGTGTATTCAAAACATTAAATAAATTAAACTCAAGATTGATTCAAAATGCCTCTTAGAAAACGGATGGAAAAGAACAAGAATTAACATAGAATATATATCAAAATGAAGCTTCAGAATGAAGAACTCAAAATGCCTTAGAATGAATGTCTAAACTATGCATTAAATAGCGAAAATCTTTAGAAAACTATGAAGTCCATTTGTATGATATCTTGGGCTCTAAGAATTCATCAAGACAAACTTTATGGCTATGTAAAGGTAGAACAATTATCTACAACCTTTATAAAGAACTAGTGCACTAGAAAAGCCTAGATCATGGATAAATATGACAATCAAGATGAAAACATCATTTTAAGTTGTAGCACTAACATAGAGCAACATTTTGAGCATATTTGGACTTGTAGACATGAGTTTGAGCTAAACTTGGTGGATATGGAAAGATAGAAAAATTGTCTACAACTTTGGTGAAGAAGTTATGGGATAATAAGGTCTCTATCATGGACAAAACATGTCTACAACATGGAAACGTTGATTTGTCCAGAACAACATGATGTTGCTGCAATGTTTTGGGAATATCTTGTGCTATAGAGGTCCAAATAACATGAAACCAATTCCTAATGATCAATGATAGTTTTATCTACATTTTTTTATAAAGACATCCTTATGATCACTTAAAAGAAGATTTAGTATTAGCCAAGGATTATTGTTTAGCATAAATAATAATGTTTTTCCTAAGTAAGAAGAAGACCATCGTGTGCCTCTGATCAAAGAGTTTTAAGTTAAAGAAATTCTTCTTAGGAGAAATGTCTTGAAGACTTGGTTCAGAAATCAATACTTTGAGTCATCTATCAAGAGGCTTCAATTAAAACATAGCTTCTTAGCAAACTTGTACTAAAGACTCTACTAAGAAGATTTGAAGAGAAAATTTGCTTAGAAGGTAGCATCATTTGAAGAAAAAGCTAATAGTACCAAAAAAGGACAATGACATCAACTCTTCTTAAAAGCTAAGTTAGCCACAATAGATCAATTTTAGTAGATATAAAAGGAATACTAAGGCTACACTTTTGAAGCAAGCAAGAAAAAAGAAAATGAGAGATTACTCGAGTTTAACAAGCTCACCCTCTGATTTTTCATAGATCTCCAATTCATATTTATATGTCAGTTTGCAATAGGAAAAGGTGTGAAATCTTCCTTAATGGAATCCCCATTGTAGGAAAGATACCTATGGTCTTTGTAATTTGTAAGAACACAAAAATTCATTCGTGTAAACACTTTTTTCCCTACCCAAACATGAGTGTGCAGAGGTGTAAAAATGTAGAAATGAACCACAATAAGTATTGTGTAATCTCATAGCAGGTGGTTGTGAGATTGTCTTCTCAATAGGTGATTGAGTGAAGAAATCTCAACAGGTGGTTGAGTGTTTTGCTACTAATAGCAAGTGATTGGGTAGTAGTTGTTTGTATCATCAAGTGGCCGAGTGAATAGAAATTGGCTATGTTTTTAATGGAAAATATCACAAGGTTGTGTGGGGACTAGATGTAGTCCAATTGGGGGTGAACTAGTATAAATCTTGTGTTCAATTTCTCACTCATTATCTCTTTATTTGTTTATTTAACTTACTGTATCCATCATTACATTGCCGCATGATCTATTTTACAATTAAGTAAACTTAGAAACTATTTTTCAGATAACTACTATGTTCCAGTACTCAGAAGCTTTATCTTCTGAAGAACAAATTTTTATAAAGAATAGATTTTTAAATAGTTTTTGTGCCCATTCTCTGTTTTCTTATCTTTTTAATTTTTTATTTAATGTTACAACATTCATTGTTATACTACTGCATGATTTGAATCATAAAAAAGTAAACATAGAAATTGTTTTCAGAAAATACACTTAGAAGCTTTATCATATAAAGAATAAAGTTTCATAAAGAACTAATTTTAAAAAGGAAAACAATTCAACCCCCTTCTTATATCCTAACATTCACTTCACTGTAGATAACATCATAAATTTGCACTCGACATATAGAGCTCATTAAGGTAAAGGAGAGTGAGAAACCTTGTTCTAAGGTGTGAGTTATCTGTGGGGGTAGTGAGATTAACCCTCAATCTCCTGTTGTTTATGTATGATGTATGAAGGAGAAATCCCAATTTTTTACTATATTCTGTGATTTTGAGTTCTAAATCATCCTCATGAGCTCTAATGATATAATTGATGAATAATCATGCTTATAATTGATTTAATTGTCTGTATTTATGAATCTATGAGTACTTGTGAATTCTTCGGAGAACCCTAAGAATGTAGTAAACTAAATTACTAGTAGTAATGAACATAAATATGATAATTGATAAATTAAAACTATTTAATTATGCTTGATTTATAATTTTACTAATCTAGATTAATTAAGTTGATATTGGATGATTTGTGCAAAATTCGTGTTTCATGCAAATGTGTCTATACTAATGCAATGCCAGGTGCCATGAGTGGTCATTAGACGTGAGCATGATAGAGAGTATGGATTGTTCTTTGTGATGTCTATGCAAGGCATGGGTAGTGTCACACTAAGGCGTGGGTGCTTTAGAAGC